CACACAGCCGTTTCGTTCGATAGAGTGTCAAGAATGTCTTCATCTCGTATTGTGTGCTTCTGCCGCCGCGAAAGTCGTTCCCCAACGGCCCCGCTCTCCCCCTGCCGTCATCGCCCAATGCTTCTACTATCGCGATCTGACGAGCCCCGGTTTCACACCTTCTATGCTTCTTATCTCATGGCAGTGTTTGTCCGAGCGGGTATTTCCGTTGTATATTGTGAAGATTTGCGTGACAGTCTATATGCACCAATCTAATCGTACTGGGCCCTGCTGGCATCTGCTAGCCAGCGAAATTAACCCGACGGACCCCCGGATCTACTATTCCACCCCAACGAGGATGGATATGAGCCGAGATTCTTATACTTCCTCCACTTCGATTCATAGTCAGGGGAAACACTCGGTACTAGCGGCGGTCGCCTCAACGCAAACCCCGGAACCCCGCTTCACCCGCCTCCTTTGCTGAAAGAGCGCACAAACAGACTGAAGACACTCACTAGCGCAACACACCACCATCTCGAGCCCGAGCGTCTGCTGCATGTGTATCTGTCTCTCGTACATACGGCATGCGGGGTCCTTTGTGTGTCACGATGGCTGTCTCCGCGCGGCGCCTGCCGTTTCGCCGCGCCGGTCCGGAACAAAACTTCTATCATTACAAGTGGAGCCTGATATATGCCTGCATTTGCTAATTACTTTGAGAGCCCGCACTCGCACCAATCTGCTTGTTTCCCCTCTGGTACGTAGAAGACGCGCGTTCCCTCGCTCGATCCATTACTACGCGTATCCAAATTGCCGCGCAGCGGAGCGACTGCGGCAAACTCATTCGTGGCGAGACAGCTTTCCACCTCTTCGTCGGTAACAGCTATATAAATCCATCCGATCTCACTTTCTGACAAGTGCGTCACTCTGTCGCCGGATTCGGCGTCCAGTCGCTGAAGGGTTGGCCCCACACGCTGAATGTCGTCCCACCCGTCGCCCGATCATCGCATCACGTCCAGGCTCTAGCCATGGAAAGTTTAGCCCACTGCTACTCAACTCGTCGTCACCGTGCGATTGCTTACTACACACACACACACACACACACACACATATACACACACTCTTCCCTATTCTCGATGAGGTTGCTGGCGAGATGGGCCATGTATTCTTCAGGATAGGAGTGGGACAGGAGGGAGAGGAAAAGAAGAAATGGCGCGGCTACGTGCTCTATTTTTCACACTTTGAGACCCGCGATTTTACTTTCTCGAAGAGAAAGCATTATCATCGTGCGGAGGGAACAAGCGATTTTTCTACCCCCCCCCCAAAACACACACACACACAAAAAAAAAAAAAACTCTTCTTGCTCTGGTAAGGGAAAACTTGATAAATCTCTCCGTTGATCAGTCCGCGCAGCCACCCGTCCGCCTGCCCGTCTGTCCGCCCATTAGTCCGTCCGTCTGACTCCTCTGCCCTTCCATCCGTCCGGCAGTAAGTCTGTCTTGAGCCCGTCGGTGTGTCTGTCTATCGGTCTTTGTTGGTCCGTCTGTCGTTCCGTCCGGCAGCCCGTCCGTCTCCCTGTTCGAACCTCCGTTCGGCTGTCCATTCGCCAGAAGTACAATATTGAGAATATTTTTGTCTTAAATGAAATCTGTACTAAAAAATTATATATTTAAAAAAGACCAGTCACATTTAAAAAAGGTTGTATTTGCAAAATGTATGCCTGACGTTAATGTAATTTATAAATATTTTCTCCAGAAACAGCTGAAATTTTTTAATTATTTCTACTGTTAGAGGAAAAGACGCTTACAAATGGTGCAGATATAATTTTCGTTTAACTCTCTGAACTTCCGAAAATTTCCAAAAGAAATAATGCGAGAAAGTACGCGATGTTGTTACTCCACTAGTTGAAATAACAAAAAATTCAAGCAAATATTAAGCAAAAACTACAAATATTTTCGAAAAGGTGTACAAGACCTTAATTCAGGACCAGTCTTTGAACAACTGATATCACTAAAAACTGTTGGAGTTACAACACCACATACTTTCTCGAATCTAAATTATCTTTTCTGTGTAGCTCTACTAGTTCGTTATAATTTGATATTTTCTGTGTAAAAAAAACCGATGGCCGGCGCGTCAATAATAATAATAATAATAGTAATAATAATAATACTAATAATAATAATTCGATTATTATTATTGTTAATGTTCCAATGAAAGGATTATTAGGAGGTTAAAAGGAGAAAGTAAAATTGAAAACAGATTTTGAGATATTGTTTTTTATAAATTTAATAAATTAGGGGTATTAGGTGGTTTTAATACTTAAGAATAATTCAAATGCATTTTTTTAATTTTCTCGTCATACGATCACGTAGAAAGAAGAGTGGGATCTAGTCTACGTAGAAAGGAGAAACTGTAGTAATGCTGCAAAATGGCGATTTTTCGCCAAAAAAAACTCGTATTTTGTGGCCCTGAAATCGAAGATGTGGGAGAATTTCTACTTTTCCATACACGTGACCCACACCAGACATATATACGGAGATTATATGTAGTATAGGGAAAGTAATGTAATACTGCGGAAAATTGATTTCGAAATTTCAAAGGATATACACGTTTTGGGGTCCACTGATACCGAAAAAGTGTTTTTTCAATACGAAAATATCAGTCCGTCTGTGAAAATCACTAGCGCCTAATCCATGCGTAGGATTTTTTCCAAATTGAATTCCCTGTCCATCTGACGCAAGTCATAGCTTTGCGATATTGAAAAAAAAATCTTTAAAATTTGGAGGCACTTACATGAAACCCACCAGTCATTTTCAAAATTTTCGAATTTTTGCTTTAAATTTCTTGTAAGAAAAGAGTAAAATACACTTATAAAGGTGGCACAGGTCCGATTATCAGGTAAACTAAATTTTCGAAATTTTCGGAATTTCAAAATGTTTTGGGCGTTTTCCAACAACTGCAAAATTAAAAATAGAGATTTTTCCTTCGAATAAAAGTTCTGCTCCATAGTAAGTTCTAAACAATATTGTGAGCAATTATGTGCAATTTTAAAAAATTACAAAAAAAAGATTTTTTCAAAAACGGCTCCAATTTTTTAACCTTTTGGTAGGGATAGTGCTCAATGAGATGACATAAACGTCATATTGCTCTATTCTTTTATTTTTTCAAAAATTACAAAAATATATTTTGACTTGTCTCTCACGATCACTCACTTGTCTCTCATTTACATTAGCGGCCATTTGTTCACATTATTGCATTTATGAGTACATGTGCTTTAAATAATATCCTGAAAAATTTCTTGAAACCTCAAAAGCTTTCGGTGGAAATGAGTTCGAAATACCGCGTTTTCAGAGAGTTTTGCGGACATTGCAAGATTTCAGTATTTTTGACGTCTTTCTACAGCAATATTGTACATTGCGATCTTTTTCTTAAATTGTTTTTTTTCTTTTCATTTCAAGGTCAATGAGAAATATTCGAAATATGAGTTATTTTTGCTTGTAATATCTAGTTTCAAATATTTTTTTCTAAGAACGTGCTAAAAAAATGTCTCTTAATTTTTTAATCAAATAGAAGAAAGTATACTTAGAAATGCTACTTCAATTTTAGATTTGTATTTTCGTTAAGTTCAAAACATTAACACTGGGACACTACATTAATGAAGAAAGAGATTTTTTCTTAACGAAATCAGGGTCAAGAAATAAGTTTTGAAACAATTTTACCTGCAATGTTTAAAAAAACGCGAGCTATTTTTACGTAATTTTTGCTTGACGTAAAAAGCAATTGATAAAAACACATTTTTTCTCAAAACTCTCCTCGATTTTCACCCCCTTGATCGAGAAAAAGGCGCTTTAAAGGAGTGGTGCACATCTCTTGTTAGTTGAGCTATCTGAGTTTTCTGTATACTTTCTGTATACTGTAAGTATACTGGGAGAACGTATTTGATGTTTTGCCCCCACTAGTCCAATTTTCGTTCAGACATACGGAGTAGAGTACTTGAGGAACGTCATGAGCTCCTGAGCTAACACATAATTCAATTTTAGTATTTAGAAATTCCATTGAAAATACATTTTCAAACTTACAAATTTTCAAATTTTATTGATGTAGTTTTAAAGCAAATTCAGACAGAATAAAGCACACCGTGAGAAATGAACTGACTTCAGTTTTATAAAGACGAATTATTTATTTAGACAACGATGTTCGAGTCCCGCCTCGGACATGGTTGCGTTGTGTGTGTCTCTGTACGTTTGTGTGTGTCCATTTCATCATTCATCATCATCATCATCATCATCATCATCGTAATTTCACGCCCCTCCCTCAGGGCTAACACTCCCGGGGTGTAAGAATGGAATCAGCATTAAAATGCTGATGCTCCCAATTGAAACTAACGCGCACCAACCCCGAAATTCAAGACTGAGCCACGGTGGAATTCACGTGTCGCGTAACCCCATGATGGCCTATTCGCAAAAATTAATAACAATAATAATAATAATAATTATAATAATAATAATAATAATAATAGCAATACCTTAAACACCGGCCGAGATCGTTAAGGCAGTAGTGCTGTAGCCGTCTCGGACCAGAAGGACCATGATGCCATCTTCCGTACCGCCAGGGACACTGGGGTGTAAAAATGGACTCAGTGGAAATACTGATCCTTTCTAATAACGATTTATGAGCATATTCCTAGGAAACGTGACTGGATCTTGGTGGGTATAACTGCACGTTCGCGTGGTGAATAGAAAGTCCAATTCGCGACAAAAAATACAGTAAATCCTCATTAACACGAATTTAAGGGAATGTTAAAGAAATTCGTATTTCCCCAGTATTATAAACGTCCGTGTGACTGTAATCCCTTGCCGAGACAGAAGTGTGATTCGTTTTAAACGACTTCGTGCTAACGAGGGTTTATTGTAATTTTATTTTTCTACGCGGTATGTAGATAAAGATGTCTATATGAATTCATTGATTTAATATTATTGAAAAAAGTACTATATTTCTTAAAAGTTAAATTTTTTCTTCTAAAGAACTTCAGGATTCATAATATTTTTCAATTAGTTTACGGCTTTCAATTTGGAAGTGACCCAAACTTTGAACTTTTTAATAAAACTTAATTAGAGTTAAACTCGATAAGTATGAATATCATTATATAAGTGAACTCAATACTTATACGATCTAATAACCTTGAGTTCAAGAGATGGGTACAATCAATATCAAATTCAAATATCTACAAATATATCTCGATGTAGTTCTTGAGATAGGCGGTTAATTCCACTTTCGAAAGGAGTCTTGATAATATGTATTGTTTTCGGAACAAGAGCAGTGGTGACATATAGATCCTTAAAAGAAATGAGGGTATGTAAGAAATTATCTTTTGGTTATTTGTGGCTCAGGTGCCTACGTGGAATTAATTGTTATATTTCATTATAATGTATCGTATCGCCTATTGAAATCAATTAAAGGAATGTACGTCATTGATACGACGGATGGCGTATGTAAAGACCGATTGCGAAGTCGTACGTCATTACATTTCGACTGTTATTTACTATACACTAGTAGTTATAAATACAAACGTCCTCGTATTATTGATAACGGTTACATAATATAAAATGTTTAAAAATGGTCTAGGCGTACATTTCATGCAAAACTACACGAAAACCACTCATTTTTACGAAAAATTGTACATGACGTTTCAAGACCTGTATTTAAAAGAACAGATTCCATTTAAAAAATCTTTATCTTTCATATTGTAGGAAAACGCCTAAAAAATTGACCGTTTGCAATTTTCCATTTTTTCATATCCTTCTAATCTAATTACAAAACCTCAACTTTACATCTATGAAATGAAATACTTTTAAAAGTGTGTTTTGTATACCAGCATAATAAGCGATCATTTCTGTTGCAAGAAGTCATGTGTAAACGTTCATCATTTTACGGCACAAATCAAGATGCATTAGCATTTTACGGCACGATTTGCAGCGAGATGGCGTGGCAAAGGTGAACGGAACAGCCGACAATCCGTGCGAGAGCACGGATGTCAAATACTCGGGACGTCACAAGTAAGTTGTTTCGCAGAATGAAGTTTGATTCACTTATAAATTTATAATGACGTGATACAAAAAATAGCGTATGCAACCCGTTTATAATGTTTCTTTGTTGCATTCGTACAAATTTGAAAACTCGCTCTTAAAGTTGCTTGTTTTCAAAACATTAACTCATGCCATAAAGCTTAACACTCTATACTAACTGTATCAGCATGAGTAGAAAGGAAACAAGTAAAAAATGCAATTTTTATTTTTGATTTGGAAAGTTGTTCTTTAAAGCATGTCAAATTGTACTGTGAAGAAAGTAATCACGTCATAACAGTGTTTAGGCTATCATGATGAATTCATGCAGAAAAATTGAATTGAATTGAGTACTGAAATGTATAAAACAGCCAGCATACATCAAGAACGAAACTCTCCGAAACCCTCGAGCCAATATATTCAGAATGAAGTAAGGAGCACAATTCCTCATTGTTCTGCGAGTATGTCTCAGTAAAGGCGATTATGCAATTAAACAAAGGTCACAAAATGTCAGTAGAGACACGTATTTTGTAAAAAAAATACTTCAAATTATGTCTGTTATTATGTAGGGGTACTATAGAAACTCACAGACTTTATCGTACTAGTTAGTATCCTAATTTCTTTGTTCTGATCTAGCTTTTCTATCTTGCCTGATACTTTCGCCACCTGCCAACTATCGTCGCTCAAAAAGTATTTTATAAATTTCTCAATATTTCGATCTACTAATAGTAGAAACGAAATGTTAATTTATAAATATTAAAGTAGAGTAAAACCTCGTCCTCAATGGCAAATTTCATTGAAGAAATGGGAGACGTTTTGAAGAAAATGGCGTTTAAGCGATACTGTAAATGTGAAATATGAAGCTATTCTCACAGTAACTTTTTGAGTTTTCGAAAAACTTCATTGGAAGCACTTCTACCCTCAAATGCAATAGTGTTTACAAATTGTTGGAAATGTGCATATTAACGGCGTGATAGATAATTTAAAAATATTTGTGTAATTAAAAACAAAAGAATTTAGCAAAATTAATTTCCGGTCATCTTCAACAGAGCAATTGGCACTAGCCGTACGAAAAGTTTGAAGAAACAAATTGGAGATTTTTTTTGAGAAAATGACGTCTGAGCGTTCTTAAAAATGCGGAATTTTGAGCTCACTTCACAGAAAACTGTTGAGCTTTCGGAAGACTTATAGGGCATCACTTAAAACATGTGTATTGATAATTTAAAGCATGTATAAATCTCCGATAATATAAATGTTAACGACGTGAGAAAAAAAGTAAAAAAAAATAAATAAATTTTTGTAATTAAAAATAAAGAATAGAGCAAAATGATGTTTATGTTATCTCGTAGAGTGCACTTAGCACTATCCCTACGAAAAGCTTGATGAAAAAATTGAAGTATGTTTTGAGAAAATCTTGTTTTTGTTATTTTTTTAAAATTGCACATAGTGCACAAAAACTTCTATTTTTTTTGAAAAAAAGTGCATGACGTTAAGAAAAGAACTAAATATGGAGAAAAAATTATTTTTGAAGAAAAAATCTGTAACTTCAATTTTGTAGATGTAGAAAGACGACGGAAAAAATTGAAGCTTTTTTAATTTTCGAAAATTCAGAATTAACAGTGAAAACGTCATCTTCATAAGTGTATTCTTTCAAAAAGATTTACAGGAAAAAATTGGCGTCATTTTTGAGAACAAATTGAAAATGACCATGCTGCGTTATTTAAAGTAACCCGAAATTTTAAAGAAAGTTTTTGAAAATCGTAGCGTTTTGAATCGAGCTAGATCGACAGGGAATATACATTTTGGATATCCTATGGTTTAGGTGCAAAATTTCTGGAATATTAAAAATTAACGACATACTTCCTGATTTGGTCAATATTTAATATATAATACAATACATAATATATAATACAATACAGTATTTCATGTTCTTGTGGATCATTGTTTTTCTTGGAATAAAACAGAGGGTTATATGAGATACGTCTTCTTCAGCTTGGAGACAGTATTGAGAAGCTACAATCAAACGCCGACTTGATACGACTCACATGACCCACGTACTAGAAATATATCGCGATGGAGTGAGACCATTATAATAATATAAAATGTTCAAAGTCGGCGAGATTGTTCCTTATCGGAACGTCTGTCACGTGCACAAACCTGTTTTATATTTTAGAAATGAGCCTATCGTTTCTTATTCTTCTTTATCTGTAGATCCCTCATGCCATTTCACAAGATCGAGATGCAACAGGTGGTTCGAAATATATTATTGGTGAGAGATTTGACTGAAATCGTTTTCATTCATGAAAAAGGTGAAGATATGACCATAATGAGAGTAAAGAGGAAATGACTCTAACTAAATAAATATAATAGTTCTTTTCTGCCTTCTCCCAGAATGGGAGAATGGCAAAGTGACAAAATTTCAAATTAACCACAGACCGTTTATTGTGACAGCGGGAAAAAGATACAGATTTTTAGGTTTAAATTATTTTGAACTTGCAAAATATTACGAAAGTTCGATTTACAATGAATGAAATTAACTCCTTTTTTTTACTCTCCTTTGTATGTAATATAAATACGGTATTCTACGTCGAGAATTGTGAGACAAATGCACGGTTTCCTGATACCAGAGAAAAGGGTTTTTTTGTTCTTTTTTTGGGAACCTGCTGCTCCAGCCGCACGTCTGTTTGCCCGCCCGTGCCTATTCGTTTGTTCTGTCCGACTGCCTGACCGTCAATGCGTCTGTTTCTCTGTCGCGTAGGTTCTTTTTCATTAAAACCTTCGAAATTTGGAAAATTGCTCAAGTTCATTTTTTTAAACTTGTCGTACACCTTTAAAATTGAAGTAAGAGATTTCTTTCTTAGTTAATTCTATTCCTTCGGATCAGATCTTTATCTCATTGTTGAAATATTTTTAAATATCAGTAAACTTCGTGCAATGTTGGGTTATGTGTTAGAATCACATCAACATTAAGAATTCCTTATAACATTTAAATGGATTGCTTTTTGACCTTTGATTCGGTAGCGTCTGGCAAAGCCTCCTGACATGAAAAAATGTATAGCAAGTATTAAAATATAACCGTTTTTGTTTCAAATTTTTTTTGAAACGTATAAACCATACCTATAAATACCATTTCAAAGTTTTTCCGAGAATGTAGCAACGTCAACATGGCCTTTCTTTGTTAGACACTCTAACATATATTCTCCCCTTCTCGAATAACTACTCACTGTATTTTACAATAAATAAATCAATAAAAATAAACATCTGACGTCAGCGTAACTACAGTGTCCTCTCGGTACAATTAGCTCTTTTTAAAAAACCTTCCCTGGAAATACAGGACTAGTTAAAAACTAATAATTGGAGGTAGGTTAAAACTGTCTTCGTATTCGTATTAATATGCAATTAATTAAATATCCCAATTAAATATGAAAACAACAAAAACAAGCAGAAACATTCTCTTTCGCGGAAACGAAAAAAAAAAATCGGTTGAAACCATCTACTCAATGCACTGCCCTACCTTGAGAGCTTTTTGAAAAAATGTGAAATTGATGAGATACTTTAAAATGAATCTTTGTGTTACCTGCTGTACATAGATATTCTTTTGTTTACGTAACATAACCTCCCATGTTGCTAATTGCCAAAAATAAATTATATTCAATTTATAATTTACACACTCAATTTATAATTCATTTTTGGGTGACTTCTAGTATTCTAAGCGCTTTACCTGAAATTGGTATCTACTTTCCACCTATTCGAAGGCGCTGAAGTGAAGTTAATTTTGAATTTATGATTGATTGCCTTTTATAAATTCAATTTCATTTCATGCATTTTATAAAACGTTTTATACGAGTATATGTAAAATTGTACCTCATTTTGATTTATTATCGCATAAAAAACAACAAAACCGTAGAAACTTCATTTGACGTAAGGGGCATGCCATTTTTTGTGGTAGTACTATAATGGCGGGATTGAAAAATTATTC